GGGGAGAGAGAGAGAGAGAGAGAGAGAGAGAGAGAGAGAGAGAGAGAGAGAGAAGGAGGCTCAAGCAAGAAGAGAATGAAGAAAAAAAAAAGATGTCTCTTGCCACCAGACTCTTCCTCGACCACCGCCGTACTTCCACCCGGAAGCCTATCGACGTCAGAGTTCTACCCGACAGTTGACCGACGCTGCAATTCTGCTCGATCGCTGACCGACGCTGGAGTTTTGCCCCACCGCTGACCGACATCTGTGTTCTATTTGACCACCAACTAATGTCAGAGTTCTGCCCGGCCGCCGACCTTCGTCGGACTTCTTCCCGACGTCGAAGGTTTGCCCTTCATCAGACTTCTTCCCGTCACCAGACTTTTAACGGACTTCTACCCGACGTCGGACTTCCGCCTATCGCCAGATTTCTACCTGACGTCGAACTTCTGCCCGTGGCTAGTTTTTCATCGGACTTCTACTTGATGCTAAACTTTCGTCGAACTTCTACTCGATGTCAAACTTTCACCCATCGCTGGATTTCTACCCGACGTCGGACTTATGCCCGTCATCGGACTTCTACCGGACGCTGAACATCCACCCATTGCGAAGTTTTAACCTCTGTTGCCAGTCGACTATGGTCCTTCCGATCTGCTTCACCAGACAACAATCTTTCTAACTACTATCAACTGCCGACTGCGGTCCTTCCAACCTTCGTCGACAGACAACGGTCTTTTCTAGCCATTATCGTCCGCTGACTACGGTCCCTCCGACCACCATCACCAAACTACGGTCTTTCCGACCTCTGTCGCCCGCCGACTATGGTTCTACCAACCAAACAAATGTATCAATAATGATTCTTTCAATTCCCATCATGTAACACATGAAATAGGATGTATATTTGTTACATCAAGCTAAGGCATTCCCGGAAGGAAGGGCCCATTGGTACTCGACTACAAATAATAGTGGATTCATTCAAACTGGGTCAGGCACCGTGGTTTTTCTTCCTTTTCAGGGGTTTCCACATAAAAACTTGGGTGTCTCTTATGAACACTATGCCCTCTCTTTTATCTGCTTGTGTTCTGGGTCTTTGTTCAAAGCTAAGACATTAAATTTTATATTTCTCTACCGCCGTAGGGCTTGATTTAATTTATTAGTATTATAGAAAGCAGGTATCCACAAGAGAACAACTATACCTAACAATAGAATTAAATCTTGGCAGGAGTCTGACGAAGACGACGTGGCAGGAGTCTGACGAAGACGACGTGGCAGGAGTCTGACGAAGACGACGATTACTGATGGTGATTGCCTAAGGTGATGGTGGTTGTTGGCACCAATAGCTAGTAGTAGTAGTCGATTATGATGGCTAGAAAATGTAACAGAATTCTCTCTAGTTATTTATATCATTTATCTCCCCTCATGTGATCATGTGATGAATAATGCTCTATTTATAGACTTTTTGGAATCGACATTTTGATAATTTGTCTGTAATCCAAAACACTTCATTGTACAACCCACATTTAATTTTGAAAGTTTTCACTTCAAATCTGCCTCAAGATTAGGGCTTGATCATGGTAGTTTTTAGTGATGTATCAATATATATACTTCATTATATTAAAATTCATATGATCCATTTCATTTATGAGTCATGTTATTAACATGTGGAATTGATTTAAAGTATAGGGATATTAGAATAAATAGAATGAGAATACCCAAAAAGTTCTTTTAGGTAGTTGAGATGTGATCAATCCATATCAGGAGTGTATCTTGTTTCTCTTCTTATTACCATTTAATAGAAATAGAGGTCATCATATTTTGACCCAATTATATATTTTTGAAATGGGTGAACTATAATAGTTAATTAGTTTGAAGGATTCTTAAAATGAAATTAATAGACAAAAAATATTTTATCATTAAATTTGGGTCTGAAAATCCAAGCCCATATTTTTTCATAAAAAAAGGCCTTACAGATTTATTGTCTTTATGATCTTTAGGTGTGTTGTCGCGCATAGTCAATTAGAGTGCACTTTTACTGTAGCTATGCCACTATTGGCTATGTTAGGCGGTTACAACAATTCAGGAACTTTTATTAGGTCAGGACACCTGATGTAGCTCTACATCCGGACGCCAATAAAATGTTGCCAGATGCCCTTACTCTTTACCACGCGGCCCGACGACCCGACCCGGACCGGAACCCGGTATTTCTTTTTGCTATGTATTACTCGGTATTGCTTGGCAATAACGAGAAATATCTCTCTTTCAAGAAATACCGAGCAATACCTAGCAAAACCAGGGTATTGCTAGGTATTGTTAGGTATTGGTCTTGACAGAATTGTATTTCTCGTTACCGAGCAAGACCGAGCAATAGGTATTGGTAGGTATTGCCCGGTATTGGTAGGTATTGCTCCAAAAATCGAAAAATCTCTTTGTCTCCTGTTATTTTCATCCGATTATATTGAATTTTTCTAACACTTACAAATAAGTCTGTAAAAAATGATTATATATATTTGTCATTTGTCATTTGTCTAATATATATTAATAAATTTGTCATTTGTCTAATATATTTGTCATTTGTCCCCTTAGAACTAAAGCTGATTCCGCCCCTGATTGAAGGAAAAATTATTTTGTGCGGACGTCGAACGATCAAAGACCAACTAGGATATGTCATGTCACTCCGGCTTTGTAGTCTATACCACGGCTTGGTAATGTGATCGGTACAGTGCTCAATACCGCTCGGTACCACTGACGTGACCCATTCTACATGATCTCCAACCGATAAACTACATTCAACATCTTCACATAATAATTTCTCTTATTGAAGGGCCCAGCAAAACCCTGAAAGTCCACTCTTTGCATATTTTATTATCATGAACTTTATAAAAATTCCACGAAAAAGGAAGCAAACCAGAAAGAAAAAAAAAATTTCGGTATCATAGCTGCAAGACACCAACTGTACTACGGCTCCGGCGTCTTCTCTTCCAAATCCTTACCTCTCGCCGCCGATACATCATCTTTAACAGCCATCACTATCAAGAACGCAAGCAGGGGATAGCTTATAGACGTAAGTGCCCAATTCACGATAAACTACATTCAAACATCTTCACATAATAATTTCTCTTATTGAAGGGCCCACCAAAACCCTGAAAGTCCACTCTTTACAGATTTCATTATCATGAACTTTATAAAAATTCCACGAAAAAGGAAGCAAACCAGAAAGAAAAAAACTTTCGGTATCATAGCTGCAATACTCCAACTGTCCTACGGCTCCGGCGTCTTCTCTTCCAAATCCTTACCTCTCGCCGCCGATACATCATCTTTAACAGCCATCACTATCAAGAACGCAAGCAGGGGATAGCTTATAGACGTAAGCGCCCAATTCACAATCAACTGCGACACCAGCGGCGTTTTGTGCTCATCCACTTGCCACGCAATTGCCGCACCTGCGCTCTGCACTCCCTTGTAGAATCCACTATACCTGTTTCAAACAAAGCCATCCAATAACCATCAGTGGACAAAGATTTCAATGGCGGAGAAGAGATTAAGAGATTATAGAAACCTGCTGAGTGTCTCTGAATCGTCCGCAAGAGCTCCAATCACCCAATAGCATAAGCTCTGGAACATGGCATCCAGCAAGCCATAGCTGAAATAGAGAACAAAGGGGCCGGCATAACTGGAACCTGAATCCTTGAAATCTAGCTTGTTCGGCCACTTGCCGTCGGTGTAACGGAGCTGGTTTGCAAGCCCGCCCGCCCAAATACCCGTCCCGAGCACGGCGACGACAGAGATCCCAACCAGCCCTCTCTTTCTCCGGCTTCTGAAACTGAAATCGAGCAAGTAGCCAATTGCCAAGGAGCCGATCATTTGCGCGCCCCAATAGAAAACATTGTTGAGCCCCTTGGTCCGGAGGCTGAATATGATGCCATTGACGTTATTGAATTGATAGGAATAGAAAAAATTGCTTCCCCATGCGGCGGGGATTATGAGGAGCATTTTCCAATTGGCGAAAAGCTTGAGGATTTCGAGCCCTTCGGTGGAAACGCTGGAGTAGGTAACTACAGTGGCCCGGGATCCGTCGTCCCGGATGATCCGCGAAGGAGGAAGAATGGCGAGGGAGAGTAAAGTGCCGGCAGACATGAAACACATGAAGGCGATGTAGGTTCCGTCGTTGACGGAAGCCGACTGAGTTCGGTGGTAATTGAGGACAAAAGGGATCAGCCCGCCAATGACGCCACCGAGGTTGAAGATGCTCCAGAAGATTGATATGTAAGTACCCTTGCGGGAGGGTGGGGGGTAGGAGGTCATGATGGCACCTTGGCCTGCCCAGAGGAGACCAGCGCCGACGCCGAGGATGCCGCCAGAAACGATGACGAAGGTCTGGTGGGAGTGGTGATTGTAGTAGAGGAAGGAGCCGGCGTAGAGGATATAGGTGGAACAGCCGGCGAATAGGGTAAGGCGAGGGCCGAGGACGTTGTAGATGCCACCGCCAAGGAGGCCGAAGATAGCGAAAGTGGTGTAAAGGGCGGTGTTGGCGTTGTTGGCGGCGTCGTGATCTACCTGTCCGCCGCCGCCCATGCCGGATAGGGCGTTGAACATACCGGGGCAGCAGAAGCAGACGAGGCCGATGAGGGAAACTTGAACCAGGGGCGAGTTATAGCGGAAGCGGGAAGTGGGAAGGGATTTGGGCTCATCGCCGGCATCAGCCGCGCCGGAACCGACTAGGGTTCCGGCGGCTTCTACTGCCCCAAAGGCCATCAAGATCGCAGTTTTGAATGGAACAGACTGTTGTGCGATTGGGGGAATCAGAATGAGGTTTTCCTTTTTAATTGTTCCGGTGTTTATTTGTAGCTAAATAAGCTCAACGGTTAAAGCTTGATAATATTTATCTATTTAAATAACTAAATAAATTTGAGCAATGATTTAAATTTTGCATATAATGAAAAAGTTTATTAAAAATAATCCAACATTCATTTTTTTCATATGAATATACATTTTTATTATTTATCAAGTATTTTTTTAAGAGCTTGATAAATATATTCATCAAAATCTTTTTTAAGAGCTTGATAAATATATCATCAAAAATATATATATATATATATATATAATTATTATATAAAGTTAAAGACCAATCTAAAAAATCAATCAATGAGAGTATATATGATCAATGTTCTCTTCTTTGCCAACATTTTCTTCAATTATTGATTTGTTCGTATAGCATTTCTCATTTCTTTAGTATTTATGCTTTGATGAATATAAGCTATTTGTTAAGTTTGATTTATTAAATTCACTCTTGGTTGTCTCTTTTTATAGCAGATCCTACTAATGCAACCGCCAAGATTTAAATGTAAAAGAATTATCAATTGAAATAAATCGAGCAAAAGTAATTGTAAATCATACATCAAAATATTTTTATATTCATTTTTTTAATGCAATTTATAATAGCTATCTCATTTGGGCTCCAATTGAGTCGAATTTAGTGACATTGGATTCCTCTTTTCGAGACATTCAGTTTCACTATAAGTTTACAGAAATCAGAGTTCGGATGGTCCTGAATTTAATTTTCTAAGTTTCCAACTTAATTTTGCCTTGAGATTTGTGCCCGATCAATATAAATTTTTGATGATACATCATTTGCCTCCATATTTTTAGACGTCTAAGCCTGCATAGTTCAAAATCAATAAGTTAGGCTGATTTTAGTGTCGTTGGGTTCGTCTCTTGGAGATGTTCAATTCGACTATAAGTTTGTTAAAATTAGAACTTTAATTTTGTAAGTTTTTTATTCATATTTTTATTCAAGACGGTTTTTTGTGACATATCAGTTGTTATTATGAACAAATATCAATGATTTAGGCATCGTGTGAGATATCATTTTAAATTAGTTTTTTTTTTTAATATAAAATTTTAGGCTAAAAAATCACTTTAAAAAATAATAAGAAAGTTGTCCAAAATAAATCAATGTAATCATTACAGATTTTCAGTTGTTTAAACCTCTATAAAAATATAAAATTTTTGAAAAATTTCACACACCCAGCTATACATACAAGGGCTGAAATTTAAGTCTAATAGCTGTGTGAAAACAAAGTTATCCAAAGTGATTATAACATCACGTTCATTATTTCAAAGCTGTCCAATTCGTTTAAAATAAGTATCATATCACAATCCCAAACTGCTCTGTAAAATTTACTTATTCGTTCATTACCCACCGATGCTTAGCTCGGTTGGTGGGTGTGCTCGGTTGGGAATCCCTCATCCCGAGTTCGATTCCCTCGAGCGGCAGGCGGCCCTTAAGTGGGAGCTCCAAAGCGCCGGCTATGAGTTTGTGGCCTGGGTGGCCCATTAGGTTGGCCGGGGTTTACGGACCACCAAACGCGCTCAACAAAGTCGGGTGTGAAGCGGACCGTTCCTCGTCATCAAAAGAAAAATACTGATTCCATCGTTGCTCGACATAGAAAATAAAAAGCAGCAAGCAGCAAAGGAAGCGAGTAAATTGAGCTATAAAAACATTAGGATGTTTCATGACATTAGGATTTCATGACAATCAATCATCACTTATTAAATTATGAATGCATGGATGCAGCTGTAGCCATAGGAGCTGCTTAGGATTTATTATTCTGTGCGGAGGATGTTCGGATATCAATAAAAATGCGTCACGTCATTTTATTGCTGGGTACCGAGCTCGATACCCTTAGATATTGAGTACTCAATCTTTAACCGGACGATTCTCCTGTGTGATGTCCGTATAAAATAAAAGCTCGCTTGTTCGCCATTAATTCGCAGAGGAAATTGGAGCCTTAATAAAGTGGGTTTTTGACTTCGGTGGCTCCGAAGAGAAATGTTTTTTTTAATAATGGTCCAACAGATTTTAGCGACCCTTCAGAGAAATATCGAAGAGCAAGGTTTTATTTTGAACGGTTTTTTATTATTTTATTTTTCAGATATAATTATAACTTTCCTTTTTATCATTATTTTTTTACTGTTAAAAAAATTTATAAAAAATCTATTTTTTATAAATTTAATATTTATATATCATCAAAAATTTATGTTGATCGGGCACAAATCTTGAGATAGAATTGAATTGAAAGCTTTCAAAATTAAATTTGGGATCATCCAAACTTTGATTTCAGCAAACTTATAGTGGAATTGAACGTCTCGAAAAGACGAACCCAACGAAAATGAAATCAGTCAAATCAAAACCAAAATGAGCCCAAATCAAGGGTCCAAAACATATTTTGAGGGTTCAAAGCATAATTTAGTTTAACAAACAAATTGCAAACCTGACATGCTTATAGTCAAATCGAGTGGCTCGACAGGACAAATCCAATGAGCTCAAGATTGTCGAATTCTGATATCATTAAGACATTCAAATGATTAATAAACGGTCACGATCAAAGAAATCAATATAGACAGTCTATAATCAAATCACTCACATATTGACCTTGATCCTTCTCATATTTACACGACATGCTACTCTAAGAAAATTATTAACAGTCCCACATTATTCACATGAAAGGGAAGGAAAAAGGAGGAAGAGAAGAGAAGAATTTGGGATCCTTCTCGCCGCCGACCATCGATGGACTTTTGCATGTTCGTCGACCACCGCCGGAGTTCTTCTCGACCACCGTCGGACTTCCGCCTATTCGTCGATCACCAACAGACTTCACCCGTTCAGTGACCACCGCTAGAGGTCTTCCCGACCACTGCTACACGTTCTTCTGTTCGTCAACCACAGTCGGACCTCTGCCTGTTCATCGACAACCGCTGGAGTTATTCCCGACTATCGCTAAAGTTTCGCCCATTCGTTGACCATCGCTAGACTTCTACCCGATTCTCCAATCTATTGTAATTCAATCGTCTTCAAGTAAATGGGAGAATTAAGCTTTGTAATTTATTTAAACTTAGTGGAATTTTATCTTTTGGGCTAGGCCCCGTGATTTTTCTCTTTCCGAATTTTTCACGTAAAAATCTTCTGATGTTATTCTCTCTTTCAATTCTGTTGGTATGTCGAATATACATATATTGCTAAGATGTTTTATTCTCTTACTCAACTGCCACTTATATCCTTGCAAGCAACAAATTTTATAATGAGATTATGAGCATTGTGTGGTTTATCATTTATACGTATGAATTTTTGAAATCTAAAAATATAATTTACTCTCATTGTTTAATACTCAATATCATGTTAAATATTTAATATTATTTTTAAATGTCAATAACCATAGCATTTGAATAAACAATAAATGATATGTGAGGACAAAACAATAGTCTAACTTAGCTTAAAAAAATCTAAAAAGTTTTTTCTCATCTGAAATTTGGGTTTTTAAGAGTAACGCAAACACTCTTATTTCACATAACGTACAAACAATTTTTTCTGAAGGCTACAGAACATAAGACAAAATGAAACCATCAGCGGGTCATCACAAGCTAATATTTCAAAAAGAATATTCATTAAGGTTGGCTATTGATATGTGTCATCAAAAAAATTATTTTGATCGGGCTTTAGATAAAATCAAGTTGGAAATTTTTAAAATTAAATCGGAGATCATATGAACTCCGATTTCAGCAAATTTATAGTCGAACACAACGTCTCAAAAATACGAACCCAACGACTCCAAATTCAACTCAATTTGAGCCCAAATGAGTCCAAATCAAAGAGCCGAAGTGCATTTGGAAGGTTCAATCCATAATTTGGATTACCAAATAGTTTCAAAATGTGACATGCTTATAATTGAATCGAGAGGCTTGACGAGATGAATCCATTGAGCCCAAGATTATCAAATTATGATATTATTAAGGCATTCAAATGCTCGGTAAATGGTCCACGATGAAGGGATTCAACATCGACTGTCCATTCAAAACACTCTCAATTTATCCTTGCTCTTCCTTCTATTTACTGGTCATGTCATTCTCAGAAAACTATAAATAAACTCCTTATTATTCATAAAAGGGAAGAGACACAAATAAGAAGAGAAGGAAATGATAAAGAGAAGGAAGAAGAGAAGCTTAAGCTCTCTTGCCACTACACTCCTCCTCGACCACCGCTGAACTTCTACCCGGCAGCTGGCCGACACCAGACTTCTGTCTTTCATCAGACTTTCGTTGAACTTCTTCCTGACGTCAAACATCTGTCCATCTCCGGACTTCCGCCCGTCATCGGACTTCTTCCCGTCACCGAACTTTTGTTGGACTTCTGCCCGACTCCGGACTTCTGTTAATCGTCAGACTTCTGCCCGTTGTCGGACTTTCATCAGACTTTTACCCAACATTGGACTTCCGTCAATCGCCAGACTTCCACCCGGCAATTAACTAATGCCAAATTTCCGCTCTGGATGCCAAACTTCAGCCATGCCACCAACTGACGCTTAACTTTTTTCTCGGCCACCGACTAACATTGGACTTACACTAACTATGGTCTATTTGACTTCCTTCGCTAGACGACGATCTTTCTGTCCACTGTCGCCTATTGACTATGGTCCTTTCGACATTCATCACCAGACAACGATCTTTTTGACCTTCTTCACCAGATAATGGTCTTTCTAACCATCGTCACCCGTTGACTACGGTCCTTCCAACCTCCATCGCCCTTCAGCTATGATCATTTTGACCACCGTCACTCGACTACGATCTTTTCGACCTCTGTCATCCATCGATTATGATCTTTCTGACCAAATGAATGAAAGACCCAGCCGGTAGTGAAGAAAGGAGAAAGAAATTGTAAGAGAAAGGAATTCAATCTATTACTCAAAGTAGTAAATATAGAGATATAGATAGAAGAGTTATACAAGAAAGGGTAACAACTAGGACAGGTATACACCAGTGATTGGTTCTAATAGCCCCCCTCAAATTAATC